CACCAGCTGTTCCTCGACGCCTCTACTTTGACTATCCCCAACTTCATGAAAGGAATTTGACGTCCGATAATCTCCGATACCGTGCAACCTCCCCCCTTCTTGACGGTCGATATTCTACCACCGCCGACAGTTTTTTTCTCCTGAGCCCTCCAAACCACAAAAACCACCATCAACTATATTTTTATGCCTTAAGCTCAGGAGTTTTTTTTTTTTCACTGCTGGTCGGATTTGTGTTCAATCGCTTCCCTTGACAATGCCTGTAAACTAGCATTAAATTAAAATTTATAATTTATTTATTATCTGGTTGTTCATTATGCTCAGTGTTATTGGTTGTCTCCAGATGAATGAGCTCCGAACATTTACGATTATCCCATTCAGTATTCTTAGGTTCCTATCGCCGAACTTTTATCTTCTGAGGAGTTCGAGCTTGAGTTCCTTCCATTTTTCCCGACCGGCCGGTGAGAAATCCTCCATGAAATAATTGTTGGGTGGACATTTCGTAGTGCTGGTTTCCTGTTCAGTAGTAATAGAGCTTGTTTCTCACTTCCGAGAATAATTTTTAATGGTCTATGATGGCCCGACTCACCCTTCAAATCCTTAATTAGTCTTATTCTGAAAGCTTTCAAGACGGCGATTTTCTCGTTCTCTTGTTATAGGGATTTGAGGTATTGCTAAAAATAATTCTATATTGTAATTTATTCTGTTTTTTTGGAGTGTCTGAAGAAGACTCAGGCATACCCTTTACGATGATGCATTTATTGCGATCGAAAGGGCGCTGTCGTTTATTTTTATACGCACAGTTTGCATCACGAAAATTTTTGTTGTCACCAATGTCCAACTCGTCTAAAATTCAAATGCAAATTTATTTTCGCTTCCTATAAAGGGACGTCGATGGGTCTTTAATGGAATTATTTTATTTATTTATCCAGTGTGGCCTCGTATGGCAAGGCACTGAAATTCTTCATCCTCGTATCCCTCGCCTGCAACTGTTCCAGCAGGTACTAGTCTCTCTTGATCCACGGTCGTCAGGCCTGTGCTCAAATTTGAACTGAACGAATGTTCAGTTCAGTTTTGTTTGAGGGAAATGAAGGTTTTCACCTTGAACTCCCTATTTGTTTACAAACAGCTTAAACCTCTTGGAAATTGTAAATGCATCATGCAGGTAAAAATAAGCGGAAAGACGTCAACTCTGTACAGATAGACGAACTGTCACGAGCGTTAGTGGTGCGAGTAGTAGTACCGTAGTCGTTTGAAGTGCAGTGAAGGAAATTATATTTCAATTGACAAAAAATTCATAGGTGCAATCCAGTATTCGTAGGCGATGGCTTCGATACAAAATCAATTTATTTAAAAATGTTACAGAAATACAATTCAATTCAATTATTTTATTAAAGACCCGTCGGGGTCCCATCAAAGCAAGTAAAAATAAATTTACATGCAAATTTTAGACGATGTAGGCAAAATCTGCACAAAGTGCAATGCATAGTTTTTGAGATTAGAAGTCCGTTAAGCAAAATGAAAATGAAAAAAAAATGAAAAAAATGAAAAAAAGTAAGTGATGTAACAGTTGGAATTTGCTCATTTGTCAGGGTTACAGATGTCGGGAGTATTTTAGTGGAAACCACTATGCAAATCTAAATTCCTCTTAAAGACCTCGACGGAAGCAGATATAACGACATACAGAAGCAGAGCGCTCCAAACTTCGAGCACTCTGTTGGAGTGGAAGAACTTTCTTGTGTACAGCCTGGCCCCGGTCACACGTAGTTTGAATGGATAACCTCTTAGTTTTGTGATTGTTTTTAAATCGAAGAAGTCCCTCGTTACATGGCTGCAGTCCTGACGCGTATGATACGGAAGGTTTGTATCAGGTCCCCCTGTAGCTGCCTGTAACTCGAGGGAAAGAAGTCAAGATTATTTAACCGGGTTTCATGCGGTAGTGAACCCCGTTCTGTCAGACGTTTCGTTGCACGCCTTTGAACATTTTCGAGAATGCTAAGGTCTTTTGCGGTACAGGGTCTCCAAGCTTGGATAGCAAATTCAAATTGCGGGCGCACAAACGCTCGAAAGACTTTAGCGATGCAATCTTCACCAAAGGCAGAGTAAACCCGCTTGACAAAAGAACCGACATCGCAGCCTTGGCTACCTTTGTGCAATGTAGCGAGAGTTTGAGAGAGTTCATAATCATTAGTACTATTTACTTCTCTTAGTCCAATTTTTCAGTAGTATTCCATTCACACGGTAAGCCGTGAGGCTCGGATAGTTGGTTCTGCCGACTCGTCGAATATTTCATTTATTCCCATTGAACGCCAAAACCAGTCCCCTGACCACTGTTGGAATCAGTTTAGGTTTGTCTGCAAATACTCTTCGTCATCTGCAGTTCGAATGACGCATTAGAGCTTAATATCGGCCGTTAACATGGCGACACCAAAATCCAGTTTAATAACGCAGTCGTTGATGTAGATAATGAACCGAGTAGGACCGGGAATCGATGCTTGGGGAACACCGCTTTCAACGGCAACCTCCGCCGACTGCTGGCCACCGACATGGACAGTTTGAGAGCGGTCAAATAGGAAGCTCTTGATTCATCTTAGGCGATAAGCCATAACGCCTGTTCGGCTGAGTTGTTCCAGGGGTCGCTGATGTGAGACACTATAAAACACCTATTTAAAGTCAATGTAGACTGAATGCAGCTTATTGTCCTTATCAACTGCCCGAGTTCAACGTTCCAAACAGTAGAGCAAGTTCTTCACGCATGACCTGCCGCTACGGAACCCATTCTGCGCATCCGATAATAGAATATGTTGCTCTTGGAAGCGCATTAGCTCTCGCATAATTATTTTTTTCATAATTTTGCAGCAGATGGAGGTGAGTTTAATTTGTCTTTAGCTGTTTGTAGAGGCCTCGCTGCCACCTTTACATAGCGGTGTGATCCGAGCAGATTTCCAACCGGCAGGTAAACAGCTGACTTCGAAAGAGGCTTGGAAAGCATCGAGAGAGGTCTGGATATTTCAGCAGCGAGCTCTTTTAATAACTTATTCATTATGTAACCTGGACCCATTGATTTCAACACATCTAGCGTAATCAGCTGTTTGTGAACAGTCACTTCATCAAAATGTACAGCCTCAATTTCTGGACCCTCTGACTCTTCTTTCGCATTAATAGTAGTTCTAATCTTCCTTGGATTTCAGCCCTTACTCCTAGCAGTCGCCACAAAATCTTCGAATTCTCCACTGATCATACCACTTCACGCTTCCTTCACCTTAAAGCGGTTTCTTTTTTTTCCGCTCTCAGATATACATTCCTCCCAAACAAACTGCGAATAAATATAAGACTATCAGATAATCTACACACTCTTTAGGTAAGGCTTCGCCTTTATCTGAATACTGACACGTTCAAGCTAGTATTTTCTTCATCCTTCCCAGACAAATTTATTTAAGAAATTGAGAAAGGACCGTCTGTAAGTTAAGACGTCATTATCAATTACAGAGTCTGCTCACATTTCCTTCGCTGTGTGTGGTTTCCTTTTATGGGATCTCTCTTCAGAAATTCCGATGTTTTCTATTTTTCAGTCAGTGCAACGTATCCTTCAAGGAACGCAATATTCTTTCTACCAAATCCTCTCAAGTTAGTAGCGGGGCTATGTTAACGTGCACTTCCTCTGTCGCCCTTGTTTCGCTAATCGCCGCCTTCACCAGGAGTCCACTCTAGCCCATGCCATTTCGAACTCTTTCTCCAAATGGATGAGCTTCGAAATTCTTGATGTCAACTCTTAATTCCGACCCTAAGCAGACTGTAGACAATCCCGGCGACATCCTCTGTTTTCAAGATTTGGTAGTAGTTTAATCGGCCAGTGAAGAGGCCTCAGGGTCGCAATCTTCCCTCTTCATATTGATGGCCACCAAAGACCTTAATTTGCTCTCCACAGCCGGACCCTAATCAGACCAATCTCGTCTAGGTTACTTTTGTTCCGCCACTTCGAGGAGGATAGCCTCATCCGGTCTAGGAATCCTGCATTGACGATTTCCGTCTTGAATCTCTTATACAATACCATAGACAGGCCAGTCCTGTTCGATCCGCATATTTACCCTTTCATGGGCGGCAGATTTTTTACTCTCCTTAAAAGCTAACCCATTCACATTCACTTTGTCTTTATCATAAGGACTTTTTTCACTGCTCGCTGACCGTTTTTATATCTGACTGCTTATTCTATAATAGTGTACTGAAAACTGTACAGAATCTATATACTTGTTTTAGAATTAACTTAAAAATTTTTCTTCACTTGCTGCAAGAGTACCCACAAGGGTACTCAGTAAAATTACCTATTTATTTTCTTAACTTTCGGCCTCCTTCCCCTATTCACACACCCCGCTTTCATAAGAATGACAGTTATCGACTTCTCTTATCGTTCATGCGTTTGAATTTTTGTTTGGTTTTTATATAAATGTGCTGGCTTGATGACAATTTGTTGAAAACACGCGTATGCACGCCGGTATTTTTTCTGAATGCCTGCATTGTTTCGCCGTTCTAACCGATGTTGTCTTATACTTTGAGAATTGTTAATTCGTACACCTCTTTGGAGTTTTGCCTATAGCTTCAGTGTAGCCATTATCTTCATACCATGCAGATTCCCGCAGCAAAGCACTTTGTTATCCAGGAACACTGGGTTTCCTGGTGGTCATGCGCTGTGACTAGGAATGAAAGTATGCATAAAGGGGTCAACTCGATGTATTCTTTATAAAAGCAGGCGATTTAAATTCGATCAACATTCAGTGTAAAGAATTCAGCAAGCAATAGAGTGTTAAAGAATGTCCTAGCGTTTTGGTAGCTTGGAGTATTACGTACTAAACCGCTAGATTTAAAACCTAACCAATCAGGACAGGCCTACACACCACAAGCACTGTCCACTTATACTGCCTCCTCTGGTCGATTTAGCCCGTTTGTGCACGTTATCTTTGCCGTTTGTTCTGTTCCCGCTAAGGCTTAAAAGAAAGGCCTTGCAAATGCTGTTCTCTGGCTTTATTCTGTTCTGTTACGCCTGGTTGGTGAGGTGTGGTAAGTTTCACTTTTCTTTTGAGATCCCTCAGCTTCTCCACCTTCGTTAATCACTTGCGGCTCGTTAATGAAACTGCTGAATACAGATTTTAATGTGCGTCTTCATTCTCACGATGTGCAATACGGCTCAGGAAGTGGGCAGCAATCTGTGACCGCTATTGAAGACGTCTCGGAGGCTGGCAGTTATTGGAAGGTATGAACTTGCCTGTATTCGAATACAAGTCCTCAAAATGTTGGCAGACAGCTGTACTTACTTAGAATCAGTTGTATAGCTGGACCTAACAGTCTTCTGCAAAATCCATGGCAGATTTTGATAGCTTGTTTTATACTTAAGCAATCGAAAATTTGGTACATTACACCACTGTTCAAGGGCATGACAACAGTGCGCATCCTTGACACAACATTTACTGTAGTCCGTCGTTTCTGCATGTCATCTGCCATAAAATCAGGTTGTAATTTCCCGCTAAAGGCCTTTCGCTCTTTCAAGCAAGTTTTAAATGTTGGCTATCGAGGCTTCCATTTTAGCACGAAAATACAAGTTCCGAGTAACCTGTAGAAAAAAAGGTCGAGTCCCTAGTAGCAAATCCATAGCGAGATGACGGCGCCTCGCTGTGGAAAAGTCGCGATACAATGACCGATTTATAGCGGATTTTGTCCATGTGGTCGCTATGGAAACAATGGCGAAAAGTCGCGATACGGCATTATGCAGCTGCGGGACGGCATTCCTTAGCGACCTTTCTGTTTTAGCACCCAAGAAAGCTCTTTTTCCCACCTACCATCCGATTTAGTACTAAACAAACTGCGGAACCCCCCTCCCCTCCGATAGTTGAAGGAAGGCGTACTAGTACTCCGATCACTGATCGCAGTTCTTTGATTGTTCACTGTTGAGCGGCATATTTTATGCAAACAAGTATATATTAGCGTTGAATAAAACAGAAGGTAGTTCACACAATTCCTTTTACATGACTGAAATAATTTATTCTTCTATCTAACAGTCAACAGTTTAAATGACGGTTTTCTGTCTCACGTGTCTTGTGTCAGAGATTTGTTTCCTATTCTTGCTATTCTTGCTATTTTTCCATGTGCATCTAATTAGATGGGACCACTTGTCATAGGTCTAGTTGTAGAACGGAGGTAACATCAGTTCACGTCTGCCACATTAAGGATATTGACCACACCGTTTCAGCCGCGCATAAAAATGTCCAGTCGTTATCCATTATTCTTATTATAGCTTACTTTCAGAAAAGCTGGGCCAATTTCACGAAAGCCCCACAGCGAAAGAATTCCAGCGTATTTTTTAGGTTTCTCCCCAACCTAGTCAAGTCTTTAATTCCTGGCAAAATCTCAGGACTGTCTTATTCGAGTCCTAATATCCATAGCTGCGTTGTAATCTTGTTATAATTAATGTGATTAGCGAAATTTTGAACACCTCATCTTTATCAAGATATTGAAGTCCGTTAAATTAACAATACCCATCTACATGCTCTCCAAGGTCATGGGACCCAACGGTGTCAAAGTATGCAACAGAGGACAACCCATAAAATGTGGCTCTACCATCAGACTCAATCATATTGTCACAGGGAAGAACCTGCACAGTCATCACTTTCAGTCGCCGTTATCTCAAAACTACGAAGTTTCCGCATTCGGAGCTGACGGCGTAGGTGACGAAGGTATGTGGTCTAAATGCACAAAGATAACCACTCCGCCAACTTTCTTCTTTGAATCGTTTTAACATGCCAAAGGTTCGGCGAAAGGCAAATTTAATTAACAAACGCTAATTCGGCTTACCGGGAAGACTGTGATATTTACGGGTTTGCGTTTATACTTCGGAACCAGTTGTATAAAAATTTCAGCACTGGATCATACCAATCGGGGATTTATGAATGGAAATTCGCGAAATGGAAACGCAACATATCAGCATCATATTTGTCGAGACAGCGTCAATAACCGAAAAGGGAAAAGGATAACAAGAAAGTCAAGATAAAAGCCCTTAAGAGCAAAGCATAAGCATCCAGGCGCAAAACATCGTAAACACATAATTGAAGCCAAACGAAAAACAGCCGAACGGTACACAAAGCAACTAACACAAACATATGGAGACGAATTTCGTGTTTTTAATAGAGAAAACAAATATGGACAGTCTTGATAAAAAGACTCGCCAGTCTCACCGGATCGTTATGATTGCCTGCCCGCAATACCTTAGGAGACATTTAGTTCGTTAGTATCCCAATCAAGTGAACTACATGCCTGACCAGCCCACCGATGTGAATGCCTGGCTTCTTCTCGGGTTGCGTATTATTAACAGGGTACGGTCGGCGAGCAGGTGCGCTATTGGCTGCCTCATGGATCCTGCTGCTACTGATCAGCCATCCAGTGGCACGTGTAGCGTCGTATACCGGAGAATACAGTAGGTGGTTGACAAATTCATACAGTACGTAATCTATCCAGGGAGAATGGAAACATGGGGCACTTCATTGTAAAATGTTTCCGATGCGTTTAGAGAGTACCTGGCGATAATGGTAACAGTGGAATGAGATTAAAGAACAGTCTGCCCCGTAACGTATTATCAGCATCTTGGATGTCAACCTCGGGCCCCAGCCGGTGAACAAAATATGCGACCGTCATGATATTGATTCCTGCCACTAAATGTGCCCCACCGATGAAACATTCAGCTCGAGCCGACGCGAACTTAAAATCACCTTCCGGCTACTAAGGAATCTTTATTCCTTACTATTATCCGTAGTTTATGGTAGATGACTTACTTGAGTTTGCAATGAAGAAGCTTATTGAACAAGCCCGAAGCAAGGTGCTTAGAGATATAGCAGGGCATGTGCATCCGGCTTGTGTTCCATCGCTTGATGCATGTCATTGTTCTCCGTCAACCAAGATGCTGTCTGTGGCTAGGATATGGACGAACTCTCCTCATTCTTAATAGACTACCATCCCTCGTCATTTTGGTGAATGAATAAACCATGTATACCACCGGACGCCTGTTATTGGAAGTCCGAGTGGAGATTTGACGCTCACAAGGGTAATACCAAATGTTTTGCTTACTTACAGAGGGGACGGAAATAACATCGAAGTAATGGAACTTCGATTTTGTCTCTGAAGTGATACTTGAGCAGTTGGGTCCTTGCCTAGGGATTTCGAGAAAAAATGACTTTTTGTCGCAGGAGATATTGTTGCATGCCACTACTACTTTGTAATCACTCAGTTTTTTCCAAGGTGTCTCATTTTAATTGTCTTCGTACATTTTTTCCCTCCCTTCTCTTAGGTGATGACTGGAAACTGCACTGTGACTCCTCTTTCTGGAAGCGAAACGAGCCTTTTAAACTACAACATGTCTCCACTTCTGGGTAATACTTCATTTTCTACAGATGAACACGTAGTTTCCTGTCTTAAGGACCAATTAAGGAGGTTTGATTTTCAACAGAGTGGATGTGTTTGTCCCGAGTTCATTATCAGAGGCCTGAATGAGTTGCCAAAATCTGTCTATTTATACTGAGACTGTCGTGTAAATATTTAGTCGCTTTGTTTCTGTTCCTGCTGATAACTATGGATCGTCTGCAATGAGAGTGGAAACTCCAGCCGAGAATTGACAAAGTCACCGTCCGGTTATCAACGTGCCGTTGGGCTAGGTCTGTTCCTCTGGGTACTGGGCGCTTACCTCTGTCCAAGTAAGGTTAAGTGGTGGTTAGGGTCGATGAAATGGTGGTGGCGATGAACCCTAGTAAGAGTTGAAGACGTTAAACAAACAGTTACTTTTTCTAGACCCGAATTGTCTTCCCTGTCAATTTTGTTCCTAGTAAAGTCACTCGTCTGGGCTTGAATATTCCAGTTCTCAGTTCGACTTTTACGTTCTTGACCTCCCAGACTGCGTTTTATTGGCGAGTTTACTTCACCATTCATGATCTTCGTTTACCGATTATTTTCATCAGTTGCTGGAAATCCCACAGTTTCCGTTATTCAAGTGGCTCCACAATACTCACAAGAATGCAACCTAGTCTCGTGTTAATTTTGAGCTTTTTTACTTTACTCTGAAGGCAGTGTTAAGAGATGCCATACTAGGAGCACAAATAGTAGCTGAAGCCCAGACACGCGTGTTTTGCCGTATGGTACAGCTGTGGAGGCGGTTCGGCTCGACAGTGGGTCCCCCAGCATTCCCGGGGTGTTTTCTGGTAGATACTCCAGTTTTGAAATTGTTCCTTTTTAATTTACTCAGAAATTGACAGCTAACTTGGAGTAGATCAGTTCACACCAGGGTCTATAGGCGCAGACCGAAACTTAGTGCATGAGTATTTGGGCCATCTCTCTGTGGCTGATGGACTTCGGCCCAAATATTCATACATCACGTTTCGGTCTGCGAGTATAGGCTCTAGTATGAACTGAACTACTCGCAGTTAGCGGTTAGCTTCTGAGGAAAGTGAAAAGCAACAATTGATTAACATGCTCCGTTTGTTGGTTGGACGCTAGAGCGGAAATGCCCTTATTGCGACGGACTTTGGCCTAAATTCCAGGAAAGAGGGCAGGTTAGTTTTACGGTTAGTAGGGTCGGAGTTATGACAACTAGGGTTATATTTGGGACAGGAAAATATAGTCAGTGACCGGTCTCATGAAGTGTTAACTGAATTTCCTAAACTTATCTTCGGCTAGAGTGGATTATCTAATTGGGGTTGAATTATTGTTTATCGTTAGACATAATTCCAAAATATTTCAGACACGCCAGAATCTTGGCTTTCGAATACACCTCTTTTCGGAAGCTTGCAGAAACCGCACTCCACTAAAGAAAACGATTGCTTTAGTAGTATGCATTTTTTCTCTTTGATCTGCGATGCCCCTATAAATTCAAGCATATTTTATTAGAAAACATGCACAAAAGTGCTCTTTCTCCTATTCGTTTGGTAGGGAATCACGTCTTGCCCAAATTCTCTACTTGAGGCGAGGATATCTTTCGCGCTTAAAGAAGTTTTTAGTTCCCAAATAATTTTAAGCCGCATCCCCCGTTACATTTTCGCATAGGGTTTTTAGTTGACACGTTCCGTGCAAGGGAAGTCATACGCTATTGAGAAGATACCATAAAGAGCTCGTACAATTTTGCAGTGAATTTGGATTATGTTGTATACTTACTGAGGAACATTAGTAAACGGACCGATGCCATGTGATTTGAATGGACATTGCACGGTCCTAAAAACTCGTAATTAGAGACTTTTCTAAAACCGAAAGATGCCCTTTCTTCAAGTATAAGGTTTAAAGAAGACGTAAATTGTCACCAAATGCGTGAAATAAAGAGCACTTTTGTGCATGTTTTCTATAAAACATGCCTGACTTATAAGGTCGTCGCAAATCAATGGGAGAAATACATACTACTGGAGAAGCTGTTTTTTTTTTTAACGCAGTGTGGTTTTTGCAGGCGGCCGAAAAGAAGTGCCCTTAAGAGTCAACATCCCACAGTGTCTGAAATATCTTGGCGTTATGCCGCACGGTAGTCAGCGATTCAACCTCACTTAGGCAATATTTTCTCATCGAAGACGCAATTTAGAATTTCGATTAACATTTCATGGTGTCGCTCACTGGGCGTAGGTACTTCTGTGGAATATAGCAGGACGCCACCTGTACTATTTGGGAACTCTTATTCCCGTGTCCGACCCGATGATTTTCGCGTCGCCGCCGTGTCTTGACTTTTCGCTCCGGACCTATTAGCCACCCGCTGTCTGCAGAATGCTGCTACTAACCTTGCCGGTTTGAGCATTTCCCCGCATTTGGTGGTTCCCAGTCCGAATGCTCCTAGGCATTTTGTGACCTATCCAGAAAAGTCGTGTTCCGGGGGTAGGGAGGGTTAGCGTCAATTCTGCTCATTAACTCTGTATGGGGTTACAAACTTAACCTGGTGATATTTCTTTTTGAAAAGACTGCAATCTTGAGTTAATAAGGGAGTAAACTAGAATCTACGTGTAGTCTAATATCCGCACTCTTTGAGTAATTGCTGTCGGCTTACCACAATTTTAGTACGTCTAGTACTAAAATTGTGGTACTAAATTTTAGTACGTCAATTTTACCAATCCTAGTACGTCTCGCCATAGCCCAGGTACAGGAAACTCACTCTCGATAGTGTGTAAGCCCTAAGGACACGTAAGCCCCAGATCGCGTTTCAAGATCGATGCGAGTAACTTGACTTATTAATACCAAAATACTATATGCCTTGAAGTATAAAGCATGAAAATAACCTCATTTTTTTCCCGTGATAAAGATACACGTGCTCTCGTTTTTTCATTTGAAAGAGAAGCAAACTTTATGAGAGCAGAATAGTATTACCGACAAAGAAAATGGAGACTGGAATGGCTATTTCTGGCTCATTAGCCGTCGTCAGCCAGGCATACCCAACCGCGAAGTGTGGAACACCCGAGGCTCGATTCCGCTACCTGTTTGTTAGAATTCCATTGTTTCTAACCACTGAGCCACGGGCTCGTTCTGTCGGTTGCGATGGGGTATATACAGTGGTGGTAGGGCGATTAGGAGCGTTGGACTTCTAACCAACAGGTCGCGGGATCGAGCCCTAGGTGCCCCACACCTCGGGGTTGCGTATGACTGGCTGACGACGCCTAACGAGCCAGAAATGGCCATTCCAGTCACCCTTGTCTTTGTCGGTAATAACTTACTGCCTACATCATGCGCCGCTGTGCGCCTGCTAGTTGGGCCCGAGAGAGAACCTTAAGGCAAAACGGAACGAGGGAATTCCGTAAGAACGACCGGTGAGCGCCCTCCCCTTTCCAACATTTTATTCGAGCACTCAAAAAGACGTCGAAATAATAACTGCCGCCTAGAGGGTGGTACTTTGTGATTAATCTCAGGACAGGTGGCCAGGCATATTCCCACGGACTGGTCAGCCCAATCTGTTTTAAGATCTCAGTCCCTCGTAAGTAGTCTTATTCTGATGTGAAGTACAGTTTATAAGTACTCCCAGTTTTTTTCACAACTTTTGGCCATTACTGTACTCGAGTAGATTTCAACACTTTTATCATAATTTATTGGATTTTTTAGTTATTTACACGTCAGCGGTCGGACTTTTGGACACCCAATCAGTGGACAGTACGAGGTAGCAGCTTCGGGGTCCTCCGCCTACGGAAGCCGATGGAAATCAGCCGAAGGCGTTTATGTACAGCCTTCTGAGTCCGAAAACGACACTGGATCTAGATCAGTGCAACGGGATGAACTTTAACTGAATCCTCACGGTGCGCTCCTCATTCTTTTTCTAAGTCTATCCATCTTAGCTTGGTCGGGGTCAGTTCTCTGAGTTTTGAAGCATCCCCACCCCCTCCCTCCATTCACTCACGTGTTTAAATTGTGGCGGCCAAGGACAGACGATTGGGATAATTGCTCACAGTAAGATCACGCTCCGTAAGACGGTATTAAATTGGAAGGCGGCATTATGGAACAGTTCTCTGTGCATGTGTCGGCCGATCAGTTTCTGAGTCACTGGTGTTGCGTTCATTCACTCTGCGGGGCACGCGGTGGATGACGACGACGGCCGAACGACGGTGGATGACGACGGCGGTCGCACGACGGTGGACGGCGGGACACGCGGTGAATGACGATGACGGCCGAACTGTCCTGTGTACCTGGCCCCAAGACAAGCTACGCCGCAGATGTGCTGGACTACAAGCGTGGTCAGACTGCCTCACGGCACGCGCCCACAACTGACGGATCACCGTTTCCTCCACTGCAATGGACGTCCTCAGTTGCACACGACGTCGGCCCAAGGACTGGTTCGATGATAACGCGGGGAAGACCGACAATCTGATCTCCGAGCAGAATAGGCTGCACACGACCCATGTCAACTACAAAACCGAAACCAACGAAACGGCTTCCTTCCGATGCCGAAGTCTGGTGCAGAAACTACTAAGAGAGGTGCGCAATGTTTGGATGACTCGCAATGCTGAAGAAAGCCAACTGTACGCCGACCACGATAAAAACAAAGAGAAGAGACTTCCAGTCCATCAACGCTGTCTGCGGCCCCCAAACCAAGGGAGCTGCGCTGCTGCTCATTTCCTACGGAACGATGACCCTGCCGATGGTAAAATCGCAAATTCTGAAGAGCTTGGCTGATTCCTTCAGATGCGTCCTTAATCGTTCTTCCACGGTGTCCGACGAAGTTTTCAACAGACTTCCTGAAATGAAGATCAACACGGATCCCCGCCAACACCAGATGGCTAACGACAAAGCTTCGATTCCCACACTGATGAAATTTGCAAGGGTAGCGGCCACCGGCTCATCCAAATGCCCACTTCAATATTTCAGGAGATGTGACTGCAAGGACGCATCCCCCAAGGCTTGAATGAGGTTGCCATTGTGCACGTCTACGAACTGGCATGACAGCCATGTGACAACCACAGAGGCAAAATCCTAGCCCGCGCCCTGCTCAATTATTCGAACATCGACAAGTACACAGGCCAAACTGTCCTGTGTACTTGGCCCCCAAGACAAGCCACGTCGCAGATGCGCTGGACTACAAGCGATGTCCACCGTGTGCTCCAGAGCAAGATGTGGCGGGCACGGGGACCTGTGGTAGTGGGCTTGCACAGCACCTACCGCACTCTCCCCTCGCCCACCCCACGGCACGCGCCCACAACTACTGCCGCGCATGTGCATGACTTAGGCGTACGCATTTTACTCGCTTCGGCGGTACATTATACTAAAATTGGAACGATACAGAGAAGACTAGCATGGCCCTAGCAGCACAAGGATGACACGCAAAATTGTGAAGCGTTCCATATTTTTCTTTGCCACCCCCAAGCGGGCCACGCGTTAGATGCGCTGGACCAACACGGAGGCCGCATCGGATTCTGGCAGGCGTTCTCGGAATTGCACAGCATAACAAATGCCAGAGTTTCGAGGTGTGGTGGCAGATGCGGTTTCCGGCTGACGTCGGGCACACTGGGATCTCTGTCGCCCCCAGCCCCCCCCCATTTTTGCTGGTTTAAATCCTGGTCATTGTGGATCAGGGGGTGTGGAGTGGAGCGCCAGGGTGCCAGCTCGACCGTGCCATCCACCTGCGCCCTCCACCGCCTCCGGTCTTCTTGACTCTGCATTGGCACCGGACCCAGGTGGGGGAGGAGGATAGTGTGCAAGTCTACTATCACTACGAACTAAATCATGAACAAGTCACTGCCCCCACTCCACCTTGCTATGGAGCACACGGTGGTCGAACTATCATGTGGCTCACGTGAGGACAGTTTCCGTGTCAGTTTGAGGATTTATGACCGCACAGGCTCCTGTGAGACAGGGGCGGAACGTCCATCACCGGATCTCTATCACTCCATAAGGCCTTAGATGTCTGTGTAATTTTTTCGTAACCTCTCACTATCGTGTTGTTACCACTTCTTAGCAGCTGAAATAATTGTAGCCAAAGCTCGGGCCTTAGCTTGTTACGCCACTACTTTCTCACTACGCAACCGTTATGACGACACCCTTCTTCCCGCCTCCTCCCTAACTTGCATTTGCATCCTTTTTCAGGCAGCTGACGTTCCCCAGCGACGCACGTCTTTCGCCCGCTCTGCCGCTACGCCGCATCTTTTTTCCCGCATTCTGTTTTGGAGACATTGTTTCTTGGTCCTTGCCTTTCTACTTTATGTCGACCGAGGTCCCTTTGGAAGAGGTAATAAACCGTTTTTTCACGCACAGTCCGTTTTGTCTTAACGGATGGACATTATGAGTGGTGAGAGAGGTCATACAGCAAACAGCGCCTAACAACATACAGACATGGGTGATACCCAGAATTGAGTTTTGTAAAGACTTGGTGTATTGCGTGGGAACCAGGTCGTGTTTGGCACGCCTAGACGGGCTATTTAGCCTTGTC